TACATAATAAAGGTTAATAATGTGAAAATACCTTTTGCAATGGGACTGACTTAACTGATTTGTTTTGAAGTAATTTATATCAATTAGAATACAAAGATTTCCACTGACAAATGTGAGTTACCCATGGACAAATTGTGACAACTATCAGACAAGTAGTCCACCCACATGAGAATACTGTAGTAGCAGAACTAAGTGCTAAAGCTGCCTAAACATTGGACTGGAAAGGATAAAAAGGAAGTACTTATTTTCTATAAATATATTGAAGAATAAAACATTCACTAATCAATAAGAACATATACTGAATTTTTCATTAAGAAGATAAACAGTTTATATTAAGGTAGATCAAGTAATAATGAACAATTATATTAAAATATGTGTAAAAATTTACTTCAATATTTTCCATCGTCTAGTAAAATAATAAAATTGAAAACTACGTTTCGGAGATGGGGCTCTAGCTCTGTCTTCAAGTACCTACTCTGTTGGGCCCAATAGATAGAGCTATCCAAGGAAATCTTTATTCAAATAACTCACCATCTTCATGAACTTTTAGATTTGTCAAAATATGCAATCAAATCTCTCTATACATGAACCTCTCTGTAACACAGATCACCATATTACGCAGAGAACTTTGGTTTTTGACAAGACAGTAGAATGCAGAACATCAGCATAAGTTGTTACGAAGGGGTGACGCCATGTCTCTGAAGAACTGTGGCAACTAACAGGAAAAAGCCAAAGGATTAGAAGAAAAACCTACACCAGTGGCACTATGTCTATTACAAGTTCCATGTGGAAACCCTGGGATCAAACCTGAGCCTCTGTGGTGAGATGTTGCCAACTAACTGCCTGTGCTATGGCTTGGCCTAATATAAGCCATAGCCTCTGCATAAAGAGCAATGACCGAAAATTGTGGTCTGCTTGATTTCACATTAAGGCAAAGAGGTCAAATGCCTGTGTTGCTGTTCTGTAGATATAGAAATTAACTCATAAAAATAAATTCTAAGTATATATAAATATCTGGACTCTCAAAACAAACGAAGTACAATACACACGACATATTGTAACAAACTAGCTCCATTCATAAAAGTCAAATTACTTTCAATGTACTGTGTCCTGGGTATTACACAATATAAAAATGCTGAAGATTACAGAAGTTTCATGGTATCTTGCTGCCTCCCTTCTTGTACATATACTTATAGTTCAGATTTTGGCAAACATGGCGTCTGTCTGAGGAACAGGATTAGTTCTCTGACAAGGATTCTGTAGTGACTGAGGGAATGGTGATGCAGAGGATAATAAAGTGCAATAATGTTCAGAAGTTGTTTATTGTGCTCTGCTGATCACATAGCCATCAGATGAATTATCTGAAGTAGTGTTACACTTTCACAGGTAAAATAAATTTAATCGAATACACTAAATTGGTCAAATTGGTTAGTTACACTTAATACTGGTGATGTATCACAATAGTGCAGTTATATTGCTTTTCATGGGTTAATTTTTATTTAAGGAGCTTTATTTGTGAATAACAATGATTTTGTTCTGGATAGTTTCTAGAATTTCAGGTACTAACTCATTGCCTGTTGGTGATTCCATATTAATGCAAATTTTGAGTGACTACAAGCCCAGTTTGCAGGATTTTGTGATGATGATGATGTGTTGCCTTAATGTTGTGGAAGTCGCCTCTTATATTGTTGCAGTAATATAATAATCTAATGGTACTTTAAAATAGTATATCTAGTTTTTACATGATGATGATGCCTGTGAAAGGTAGTCATTGGATTAATTGTTGAACTTAGGCTGTAAGAGGATTTAGTTGTTTAAGTTAATTGTTGAAGTATTGGAGCTATGTTTGAATGTTTTCAAATATGTAAGCTATATTTTACAAAATATGTACAAAATATAATCTGTTTGCAGAATTTTTTTAAATAGCTGTATAAAATTGTGTTTGTAGAAGTAACACCTGCAAATTATATTTCCGGAGTTGTTTAAAAAGTCATGCAACAGGAACTACATTATGGAAGACAAAGTAACAAATAATGAAATGATTTGGATATGTTTTAATAATAAACAGATAAAATTCCAAAGAAGGGTTTAAACATGAAGGTTAAATGAAAATGCCCAAGATTTAGACTAAACTAAGGGTCCAAACAACAGGTTAGGATAGCTGTAGCACAGAAGGAAGGAGAACCATGGAAATAAATTTATGAGGCAGTTATAAATGCTCCATTCTAGGTGTCAGACTGATATTAATTCATAAAATAAATACAATGGCATCTGTTTCAATCTATGAACAATAATATATAATGGCTTCTGCTACTAATGTGACAGAACAGCATAGTCTGTTGATTGTTATGAAGTACTATTGAGATGGTTTCCTCTATCTACTTTCTACAGTTTTAAGTCCTATTGGATATGATCAGAGAATGGCCATGCTATTCCAGGAATACTACTTTCTGGTTGGAAGTTCATAATAATTTGTGATAGTGTGTTGCCTTCATATACTCTGAAAGTAGTTTGGAATGGTTTTGTGAAACTGAGCATATTGTCACTGGTTGTTTTGTCTAACAGTATTCATAGCAACAATGATTTGCATTAATGAGGACTTACAGTATCCAATTTTATGTTGAATAGTTAGTAATAGCAGTAGGTATATCAGGTCTAGCTGTCTTTAACTAACTTATGACTGCCTTGCTTTCATTGTTACAAAACAAGAATCTTAATATTTCCACTCTAGACAGATGTCTAATGCGAGTCTGGAATCAGACAACACATGCTGTATGATTTGAGATTGGCTAATTATAATTAATACTCTAGTTACAGACAATTTGCCTTAATAATGCAATATTTGAAATTAAAAGTGACTTATGTCACATTTATCAGAACATGTCAGTAAATTGAATCATTTGTACTGTTCCTGTTGCATCATTAAAAGTCAAAGAAATAAATTATGTCTGTTATTTTGGATATTTATAAAGTGTCCCAAACTTTTGTCCGTTAGAGTTATGTCACTTCAACATAAAAATAAAGTGAATACAAGTATTTTAAATATTTCTAAACTATGTAAATGTAATTATGCTTGTGGATTTCAATGATGATTCCTGTGCTTTAAGATTTGAAGTTAAAATAACTGTGCTTAGTGAAATTTCAAGTTCTAAGTGTGGGAAGTATGATGTCTGAGCTGTTGCATCATGCAGTCTCACAGAAATTGATCAACATTTCAAGGGTGCTTTATGCCTTCATTATCAGGGAAGTGATGATGGAGGCAGTACGCTTCTCTGAAATGGCCAGTTTCTGAGGGACTAGCTGGTGTAACATCCCAGAGACTGTCATCTTCAGTTTTGTGCTTCGATTTTGAGCCCCCTGCTAGGGCTATTACGATCTTTCCCCACACCACTTTCAGCTCGTTTATGGGTAATTAAAGTTCATGTATTAAAATCAGTGGAGAACAGTAGCCGACATTAATATAAAAATGTTGCTAATTTGAAGTTGAATTCACCGCCAATGAAACAGTTGAAGATTTCATTTTTAATATCGTTTGTGAATTTCTGTATGTTTTTGCGGGTTGAAATATATATACGTGTGTTTACGTTTCTTTTCGAGACGTATGTGTTGCGAACAACGATTATTTTATAGTTTTGAATATTTAAGGAGTTACTTTCTCAGAACTTACTGTCAAATGATTACAATGTGTTAATCCGCTTGTTGCGCCGCACTATATTTCAGTTGTTTGAGACCTATTTACTTCGCAGGTGCGGTGCAAGTTCAGGTGGTGATTTTTGTGCCCTAATTTTTGTAGTTAGTTGTGAATGATGTGCTGTCAGCGGTGAATTGGATATGCAAATGCTGTAAAATATCTTTAATTTGTTTATTCATTTATGTTTTGAACATTTGAAATACATTTTTGTAACCGACAGTGACTAATGAATTTGCATTTGATGGGTAGACAATGGAGAGTTCTTTCCATGAAGACATTTCAAAAGATACATCGAGGATCGTTAAAGACCTGAGCTTGTTTGAGGCGCATCTGCCAGAAAGTAGTAACAGTTACAGGCATACAGTAGGAGCCAGGAACTGTAATATTAATAAAATGGACCCATACTTGCAAAAATTGAGTTACCTGCGTATCAGTGAGGACCCGAAAGTCGATTCGCAAGTCGTGAATGATAGAAGCAGCCATCGTGTAATTGTCTCTGAATCGGGTTATGGACGTATAATACCGAAGTCAATTGACAGCCAGGGAAGATCACTGTCAAGCATAGCAGTATCTGGTGTCGGAGGAAGTAGCACTTCTCCAGCTTATGAAGTTACAACTAGTGGATCAAAATCACTACCAGCTAGTACAATAACATCTCCTGCACGGAATGTACAAGACAGGAGTGCTACTTACCGTCAGCAAGACAATGGCAAACATCATGCAGTTGGTGCCATTGAAAGTTTTATTGTGGAAGGATCAGGAACAGTACCAGGGAAAAATCAGCCAGTTGACTACAAGATATATGAGAGAGGTAACATCATTGCTGCCTCCAAGTTTGCGACACCAAAACAAGTAGAAACTATTGTTTCTCTAACTAACAAATTGCCAGCTGAGGGCCAGTGTCCAGTGAACAGAGGTCATCAAAATGGATTGGCACAAACTTCGACAGATTCTGGTGGCAAATACTACTGTTCATATACAAGTAAACATGGTGCTGCAAGTCCTACTCATAGCTTGAGTGGTTCAAGCAGGGATTCACAACATTCCAATAGCCCGCGCAGTAGCTTAGTAGCTGGTGCACAGAACTACAACTCTCCACTGTATGAGAATATTGACTACTGTGGATGTAATCATATACCCCAACCTCCGTACTATCACCCACTGCCACAGCATACAGGCAGTCCTCATTCTAGCCTTGGTTCGCAGGATTCGAAACATTCCAGCCCTCGTGCAAGCTTGGCAGCAATGAGTGATGGTGTGCACTATGAGTCTGGTTATCGTAAGGCCCAACCCCAGGTTCCAGCAGGTACCAAGTTTATTTCTTCTGCCCCCAAGGACTCCCCTCCATATGAGGCCCCTCCCGTATATGAGAACATTCAAGAATTGCATCAGTTTGGTGGGAAGCCTATGCAGAACTATGAACCTGCAAAACCTGGACCCCAGGTAGCAGTATATGGTGAACACAGGCAATCAGCATTGTCAAACTACTGTCCTACATCTGCCACCTCACATTCAGGGGCTTCCAGTCCAGCATCACCACAGACTCTTTCTCCTCGTGGAAATAACCTCCCACCGCCCCCCTACCCAGGTAGTGGGCTCAGTCAGAACATTCCAAATATTTCCCACAATCAGCACTTTGATGGGAACATTCCATCAAATGTTCAAGGTCCTCCTTTTCCAAACAGTGGTGGTTCCAGCCAGAACATTCTAAACAGTGTGGCAGACAGTGTTCCCACAGGTCAGCCATCAGTGGTGGAACCATTCCCAGTAACTCGTATACACAGTGCCATGCATGCTGCTATAAGCTCGTATACAGTGACAGGATCAGCCAGCAAGCCAACCTCACAAAAGCCTGTTGGCAACTGCTATCATGCAACACCAGTTGGTGGAGGAGACTATGTTGTTATGACTGGTGGTAACAACACACAAGTGCAACTTGCAACGAGCTATCAGCGAGGTACTTCATCTGGTGTTGCCAATGCAGTGTATGTGAGTGCAGAAACAGCTCGCGGCCCGTGTCCAAGTTCAAGTCCTGCTGTAGCAGCTAATAACAGCACAAAAGTGAAGAATGTGAGCGGCAAGACACTTCTTCCCTACAATGTGACACCACCTCGACCTATGGTAAGTACAGATTGGTTGCCGAACAGTTCACATTCCATTGCAGTTATAGGTGCCCCCTCTTTAGGTTTTGTTAGGTGGTAAACGTGTAGAACAGGGTGTAAAATTACATGCCCTGCAAATGCCATCAAATATTACTTTATGATTTAGCAAGAAGTTCAAGGAAGAACTTTCTTTCAAATGCTTCTGTTTGCATGATGAGGCTAAGCATAAAATAACAAGAATAAAAAATTTATCCCAATCTGCTGTAAATTTTTTCAATGACAGCTATACAAATTTCATGCATTCATTAAATATTCTCCATATTGAAAAAATGTCTGGCAAAAAATAGCACTTGATCTATATTATGTACAGAGATTTTGTATAATACGTAATTTTTTTTAGAAAATCATGAAAAGATTGATTGGAGCTTTATATAGAGGGTGATATCGGACTGATATGAAGCAGAATTGAATTAATTAGCAGAACATCTCTTAATTTACACCTATAATTAAAATGTGTCAGCTAATTTTTGAGATGGAACGTGCAGACTGGCACACACTGCCTTTCAGTTATGTTGTCAAAAAATGTTAATAGTTTTACAATTAAATGTTATGTTTCAGTGCATAATTTCAGTTAGTACAGGTTATATTGCCTCTGTCAGTTTAGAAGTGCTACTGTGAAAATGGACGCAGTACATTTCTCCAAAATGTTGGTAACCACAAGACCAATGGAATCACAACCTAGAAAATGACAATTGACATTTTTAATGCTATAACAATATCAGCATGTGCTCTTCCCTTATTCCAAGACCAAGTTTCACACCCACATACATAATATAGTTTTCTCTAATTGAGTCTTTATTTTTTAATATACTGGGAATGACCCGTTCTTCAAGTGCCTGAGCACTGTGGGTCCCAACTTTTCATTGGCTTGTTCTATAGACATTCGGTAGGACTCCTTGGACGAGGGATCGGCCCGTCGCAAGGCCTCCACCTGTACACAGGACAGCACAACACAGAAATACACGGACAAACTACCATGGCTTGAGTCCCAGCGACCAAGCGGCACAAGGCCCATGCCTCAGACCAGGTGGCCACTGTGGACTCCATTGTTTTAATATAGCAGATGGGAAGACAAAATGTTCTGAATTGTATTGTAACCTGCATTTCTTAGGTATAATCTATCTACAATGTTAGGAATACTGTCTTACTGTGTGGTAGCTCTCTGGCCTTACATTATAAATAAATAAAATATAAGTATTTGAATGCATGGAATTAACTTTCTTGAATATGACATCTGCAGTGTTTTCTGTTTGGAAAGCAGGTAGCTAAGGACATGAACTTATTTTGTTAAGTTGTGTTACCTTCGCTAAAGGTAAGAGTTATCAAACCTTTCCAAACATGGGGCCACATTTATCCTTTCTTATGGACTCACTGGTTGCAAGGTTATAAAGGACAATTTGTTGAAACTTTATAATGATTTATTAAAAGGTAACCAACTTACTCATTACTGCCCAACAGTTTCTTTAACAAAATTAGTCATTAGTGACATGTTTGTCTTTCCTTGTGCTTGAGTAATTTTTCAATATCATGTTTAATATCTGTTTTTGTGGTTTGCATGCATTCCTCCAAGTGTTCATCTGTGAGACACATTTTAGTTCTTGATTTGACAGTCTTTTTTAATCTGAACTATTACACATACTGTCAGATATTTAGATACAATTAAACGGAATTACAAAACATGTATTTGGATTGCACAAAACATATCAGTGGGCTGCATGCAGCTTATTAGCTACCTATTAAGAACCCCTGACTTAGAGAGTTATTGACAATTAATAATTGGTATAATATCTGGCTATCTTTTACAGTAATTGAGTTATGTAAGTGACATAAAGAGACAGTATTAGGAATAAAAAATTTACCTGCCATTTCTGCATACTTTTCTGAATTCTTTGCAGTGTGTGTGAATTAGTATTGTTTTTCCAATAATCAGTTGTTTGTCAGCAGTTATGAATTTTGTAACATTTATTAAATTGTAACGGTGTGTTTTGATGCAGAATATTTAGTTTATCACAATTTTGTACCAGATTTTGCACATTGTTGGGATTTGAGGTTTTCCTGTAGGTGTCGATTGAGTCTCATGGGTTGTGACACTGCATAGTTTTTTTTGTAGGTTATTACTCAGATTTTGAAGGAATGCTTTATCTGCATCCCCATGGTCGAAGTTACGTTTGCTACTAATGACTCCATAAAGTCAAACTATACAAACATTGCAAACCATTCACATTCATAATATTAACTGCCAAAATGTTGATGTTTATACTGACCAAGTTTGCTGATAATTTTAATTTGTAGTTCAGGCAGTTGCTATTCTAGTTAGTGCTCTTAAATAGTCTCGCTCTCTGTGTGTGTGTGTGTGTGTGTGTGTCTGTCTGTGTCTGTCTGCCTGCCTCTCTCTGTAACTCTCTCTTCTCCCCAATTGATATTGGTGCATAATATTTTTTTAACTCCAACATTTTGTGTGCAGCAACCTTTTTAAATATTTTTAATCTTGTTTCACATGTATCACAGGTAATATTTTAGGTGTGATATTCTGTTAATGTGAATTGTTCAGGGAACTTGATGGAATGCAGTACCATGGGGTGCATAAGATTGACATGTGTTTGAACAAGATATCACAGTGTTATCCTGGAATGCAGAGATAGTACACATATGTGATAATCTTGTAATGTTTAAGCAATTGATGTATCAGTAAAACTATTTCTCTGTAATGTTTAACTTGATACAAAAGTATATTATTATAGGTCAAATGCTTTTAGATTGAAAATGAAAGCTAGGTTTGGTCAAATTAAAATATTGGTATTTTTGGTTGCAATCTCATTTTTATGCTTCTCATATATGTGCCTAAATTGTATTGAAATTGGTATTTATTAACTAACCTTCTTGCCAGTCACTTATATTAGTACACACAGAGGGACACTGAGTTCATAAATCTCTGATCCTGATTCATTACTGTAGGGTTTTGATCTCATTCTTTTAATTATTTTTCTCCTTGCTGATGAAAAGGACTCATAAAACTATGGATCTCAGGTTTATAAGAAGATGAGCTAACAAGTAATATACCATTCAAAATTACACAGGGCAACAATTTTTCACTTTTTTCTGGTAACATGGACAATTTTCAGTGTTCTTTACTAATTTTGGGGCGCTGATTTCAAATATGACCTTGAAAAACACCTAACACGTGAGATTTTTTGATATGATAACTTTTACTTTCTCATTTCCATATACAGTACAAAGTTTAGCTTACTACTAATGTCATTTTTATGGGTTTATTTACAAAGTTTAATCCTTAATCTATTCATCTGGGTTGAGTAGTGAGACAATAACCACATAGTTGAAAACAAATAAGAAATTATTAAAAAAAATTAAGTGAAATTTTACACAAAAATGAGAGCAAATGACAAAAAGTCTGCTGCGAGTCTATTTTTTCTTTCTTTTGTGCGGTGTAGTGTCTTCCTTCTGCAAAAACCAGCAATAGTCTCCCATCATAGCTGGATCCCACCTCCCCTGGTATTGTTCTTCCATAGTTCGAATATCTTCGTGGAATCTCTTCCCTTGCTCATCACTTACGTCGCCCAAGTTCCTTGGGAAGAAGTCCAGGTGTGAATGAAGAAAATGGATCTTCAGTGACATTCTACACCCCAAATTCTTGTAATTTTGCAAAAGATTCTCCACTAAAAGCTGGTAGTTTTCTTCCTTTCACTTTCCAAGGAAACCTTTCCCCACAGATACAAAAGATTTCCACGCTGCGAGTTCTTTAGCAGAAAGTCTGGCTTCAAAATTTCCATCGTCCAACAGTTTTCTGATCTGAGGCCCGACAGAAATTCCTTCTTTCAACTTAGCATCACTAAGATTCGGAAAAATTCTCCTCAGATATTTGAATCCTTCTCCTTCCTTGTCCATTGCTTACCAAAATTTTTGATGTCCTAGTTTAATATGAAGTGGTAGTAAGAGAACATTTTATGGGTCAACCAAAGGCTTGAACTTGATATTACAGAACAATGATACCATGTGCTTAAACGTCAAAACTCACACTTAAAGTGAGGTTATGGGAGACTGCCAGTATAGCCAACCTGCAAAAAATATCCCTATGGAATCAAGAAATTCACTCATTTGGTAGAAGTTAATACAAAATAACACAAAAATGGTATATGATGAAAAAATTTCAAGGCCGTATTTGAATTTTGCGCAAAAACTGCAATATGAAACATATTTTGATCCATGTTAACGAAACAATTATAATAATTACTACCACCTTATGTAAAATGATTTATAGTGTAATAAAAGCCAATGATTTTATTATAACAACATCTAAGAACAGCTGCTGACATTAGGTGGCTTAAATTAAGGATTGTAGAATGATTGGGAGCCAGGGTAGCTCAGTCAGAATAGTGAGTAGCTACAGACTGGATGATCGGGGTTTGATCCCTGACTGGGGCATAGTTTTTTTTTTTCTGGCCTCTATGTCCAGACTGGCTCTGGGGCCCACCGAGCCTTTTATTCAGTGGGTATCATGGTCATTTCCTAGGGGTAAAGCTCGGCCGGGGCGTGATGCTGACCATTCACCCCATCTAGTGCTGATGTTGAGAAAGAATGAGTAGGAGGTATACTTACTCTCCCCTTAAGCACGTGTATGGCATGTAGTGGGATAGTTTTACTTTATTTACTTTTTATTGTAGAATGATTATTAATTCTGTTTAATGTGGGAGGTTAAGGAAAACATTTGTGACCAATTATAACAAATTTGCTGCCAAACACAAGGTTATAGTTTTGTTTATTGCCTTCACCACTTATTCTGCATGTTGTTTGTTCACATTTACCATTTTTGTTTTCTCTGCTAAAAAACTATGTAATGCAATTACATATCAAGGGAAGGTAAAAGAAATGTTAAACTTTTAATTTTTGCATTAATCTTTGTTGAAATAAAAGTTGTTGCAGTTCTGATTTTAGTCCAAAACAGAAGTATATGCAGAGCAGATAATCTGAGGTTATTAGTTGGATTTTTCAGTGAATTATCATTTATTTTTTGGTCATTGTTGAGTATGGAAGTAAATTATGTATATGTTTAGTATCTTCCTTTTCATATTTAAAGAATTATAACTTTGTTTTTAAGGCATAACATACCCTCCCATTTAACAGAGGCACTTGAGATGAGGAGTTATCAATTAATATAACCACATGATCCAGCATGAAGAAACTCATTGGTATTGCCAATATCTTTAAAAAAATGTGTATGTGTGTTTGAATGCATGTCCATGAAAGTATGATTCAACAGTCATATACCAAACAGTTCTTGGTATTCTAACAGGGACATTAAATTATTAACATGTGGCAGAACTATCTGATTGAAGAGGGTACTTGACTGAATGTCATAATACCAAAATGTTTAAGTTTATGGTTTTATAGGAAATTATGACAATTTTGAGTGTAGTAAGTGTCTAGTGGAATCTCATTGTAATATCACAAGTTGTACTCATTAATTCCATTCTGCAGTTTCAGTTGAGCAAAGTATAAGCACTGAGGTAAATGCGTGATTAACATAAACACTTTAGTTGATGTATTATAGTATATCAGAACATCTTAAAAGACTGAGATTTGTTGAGCTCACAATATTCTGGAAATTAGGGAATGTATCTTTGTATTCACTAAATGCTCGCATTGTCTGTATGCTCATCTGTATGTATACTCTGCATTTTCATTATTGTCCTAAACGTCATGTAATTTCGTTTCTAATAAATGGTTAATTTTGATACTAGAAAAAGCAATTTTAAATTCTGTGTTGCCTCTTATTTGAATTTTATGTTTGAGCATAATTTAGTAAGTTTCTAAGGGTCACGTCTATTATTTGTGAGGTTTATGTCACCACCTCCTTTGTACTATTAGGCTGTGCCTCTAATGATTGTTAGATTAGTATCAGTTCTAAAATTTTGTCAAACTTGAAATAAATATGTTTGATTTGAGGTTTTCACAGCGGTGAGTATGAAGATTTCTGTGTAGTCTGGTCGACCAGACTACACAGCGCAACAACCCAGAAGACAGAAATCTTCAAATATGTTTGAGTTTTACAAAGTGTTAACAGCAAATTTATTAAAAGCAGTTGCAAGAATACTGGTTTTTGTGTGGGATGGGTTATTTCAAGGCAAAAGGGATGATGTTACAGATGATGAAAGGTGTGGTGGCCATATTAGAAAAAGAAAACTTACTTAAATTTGGAAGAAAGTAACAAATACTGAGAAATGTTTGTTACTAGACTGTTTGGAAGGTAACAGAACAACCGAACATGGATAGAAGCACTGTGAAATTGACTTTAACTGAGGATCTGTACTGAAAGTTCCATAGACTTTCATCAAGTTTGTTGGGAAAGCCCAACCATCAAATTACAGACTTTTGATGAGGCTTGATCTTTCTGTATGACTTGAAATAAAATACCAAAGTTTTCAGAGGAAAAATACACAGTCTGGAACAGGGCTGTGGAGTCAGTACTAAAACCTCTGACTGCTTCATAAACGCTCAGTATGTATTAATAATGGTAAACCTACTAAAATGGTAAATTTCTACCATAAGAGATTTCATCACCACCACGTGAATCATCAGGCTACTTTTTAGACTTATAACCTATATTTAAACATAAGTCTAATGGTTATTGCAGAAATCGGTTGATTTGTAGACAGTTTGTATTATTAAGGTACCGGGGCCAAAGTTACAAAGCATTATTCCCACACCATGTGACTCAACGCGTCATTGAATCTCCTTAAGCGTGAGGCCACCGGCGGCTCACACGGTAGCAAAAGTGTTAAAATAATATTTTCTTAAGATTTTATATCGAGGTCGGAGTCGGTACATTTTTACCGACTCCAACTCAACCTAAAATTGCTTCCAACTCTGACTACACAGCCCTGGTCTGGAAGACCAGAAGAAGGGCTCAGTGCTCAAAATCAGAGTTTAAAGTCATCATTTGCTTTTTTAATATCAGAGTAATTTTTAGTTTTGGATTAGTTCCTTCAGAACAGTCAGCCAGTGTACCTCCAAGTTTTGAAAAGTATATGGCAGTGTATTCAATGAAAAAAACTAAACCTATAGCTGGATAGGGGGATTTTGAATTAATAACAGTGTATTCAGATAGAGCACTTGAGAAAACTGATTTTTGGTGAGTCATCGTATTTGACCCTGGTGACCTTTTAATGTTTATATTTCTAAAATTAAACATATTGAAAGGGTATCATTTGAAATTATTATAAGATGTAAAGACATTTAGAAGTTGATTTCTAGCAGTGCTTTTTTGCATACCAGGGGCTGAATGTGTGTGTGAAGGTAGAGGCAAATATTTTGAAAGTGACCACACTCACTAGTGCACCAATCCTGTCATTTAGTTTTCATGTCTTGTCTTGTCTTTTGGAATATGAGATCTTATTTTTGAGATAAGATTTCGGTTGTGGTCAACATGGAGATAAACTTGTCACTGCTTAGCCTTTAAATTTTAAGTTGTTAACAACAAATTTTGTAAGGAACTTTGTGTCTGAAATTTAATTTCTTGTATATCATATTGTTTCTGGTGACCTAAATGAATGAAAATTATTGTTGAAAACAACAATTGCAAGTTGAAATTGTGAGTGAAAGCAGAGCAGCAGGCCATTTAAATGTCAACAAGAAATGTTAAAGTACTATTCCAGCATTCTCCTTAAGAGAATGAAAAAGTTACAGAAACCTCAGTTAGTGTAGCTGTAACAGATGGCTGTCTTCAGGGAAGTGGCATCATGTAGTCTGGTGAATATTGATTGACTTTTTAGAGGATCTTGCTGCCTCCAATATGAGTGTGGTCAATGGCTACCAGACTACTTTATGCTGCATTTTATGAGATGACTACCATCATATTTATCACCATGTGAATTTCAAGTAGTTAGCTGTTACGCCAGCTATGATTTAAATTAGATCTCTCCTGAATACACATCAGACAGTTAATACATTGCTATCCTGTTGATTTGGTCTCAAGAAGTTGGAATGTAGTCTTGTGTTTATTTTACAAAGGAGCATATTAAGGACATGATACAATATTTATCAGTGGTTGTAATTTGTTTTCAGGGACCAACAGAAGCTGAACGAAAAATCGAGGAGTTGACTCGTCAGCTGGAAGAGGAGATGGAGAAACAGGAAGAGGAAGGAGAATACTTTGGTAAGCTTCTGCCATTAAATTTTGTTTACTATAAAAGTTAACGTTTTATAGCACAGTATTTTGGTTCACATGCATTAGCTGAGTATTTACAAATGTTTCATCCTGCTATTGTGTATGAGATAAGTGACTTAGCTTAAAACATGTGTGAAATGGTACTATACATGCATTTCCACTATATTATTTACTATTTTATATGCCTACTTGTCTTGATTTTACTTTATTGCAGATAGAAATGTATTTTTGCAAAGCTAATTGCACTACACAAACATCACGCTGCACCCATTGAGAAATATTGTGTCTGTATTTTATAAAATATTTACCGAATTAACATACTTCTTGTGTAGAAAATGTAGATCTTAATGAGATCTATATTTTGCATCATGTACTAATTTTTTGCATTCTGAGCTTGGCACTTCAGGTGCTTTACCCCAACATACTGATTGAATAGGAGGCTGAGTTGGCCTTGCAGTTAATCTGGATGTGGTGATGTAGAAATATAGCCCTGCCTTTTCTGGGAATCATACCCAAGTGATCCTGCTGACTTATTCCTTCTCAAATGAGCTAATATGCAAATCAGTGCAATGTGTAAAATACCCTGATTATTTTCAGTAAAATACTTTGCTGTACTTGCTTATGTAGCACACTTATTTGCATCCCAGTAGTTGTTACTGACATTGCTCACGCACAAGTAACATCATGAATAATTCTGTGAATAATTGAGAGTGGCTTGGTATGAGTGTGAAAGTATTTATCTTCTCTAGTCTAACACAAACATGCCTAGCAGGTGTTAAAGTGGTGGTGTGATGTAGCAGAGTGGAATGAGTGAAGCAGTTGCTAATGCAGGTCATGGGTCTACGTTACATAGCACAAAGTAAGTTTGAGTTTATAGTATTTGCAGATTAGTAGTGTTAAAAATTGTTAGGTGCTTGGGTTTTTCCGAAGAAAGAGTACGCTTTTAAAATAATTTTGTAAACAAATTACTGTAAATGCTCTGCAAAAAGTCTGCTGGGAAACAGGAGTGGTAGAATGGGTGATCTTACTTGCATATGCTCTCTGCATATTTCTGCTTTCGTGTAGTATATTGTGTTTTATAATTGTGTCGCATGTGTGGACACATATTTTATTAAAGAGTATAGCATAACCACTTATGTCCACCTCACTCCCAGCAGACTTCTCATGGTGCACTAGCAGTATTGTCTTCTTGAATTTAAATTAGCTCCAGATTTGATACATTTCAGAACGTTTTATTTCCTGAGTTGGAAAATGCATTAGTTCAAGAAGGTTGATAAGTGGTTTCTGAAAGATTGATTGACCATAAAGCTCAGAACCATTGCTCCCTAGATCTTTGAATCTCACTTCTGGTGTATTTTTGTATATGACTGCAATGTCAGTCAAAACCATTGCATCAGTAGAACACACAAGAAAGCTTTCAAAAAGTTTGGGACACAGTCTTTGGATACTGTTGGAATTATCTGCCAAGGTCATATTGAGCTTCTGAGAAGGGGCTAATTCCTACTGATACTAATTTAACTTCTGTGGATGTATATGTTTAAGATTTGAGGTTCTCTTGGCAGTGAAGATGTTGACTGTATTGGTTTTGATGCTGTGTGGTCTTCTAGGTGGTTGTGACACCTTGTGGTCTTGCTGACCACAGTTGATGTGTGTAATTTTGTTCATAATTTGGTTTTAAATTTGTATATTTTGTTTGTAAGAACTTTGTATGGTCACTGGATTGTCAGTGGTAGGTAACCAAAAGGTGGTCACTAAATCCACATTTATTTAAATTGACCATCTGGAAATACAGGAGTGATGTTAAGGTGAAATGCCAAGTGTCCAAAGTTGACTTGTGTAAATTGTAGGCAACTTCTTTTTCAAAACAGGTAGCACATGCAGTAAAATACCATTTGCATTTGTTAACAGTAAGATATTGTTAAACGCATCAAGTGTTGCAGTAATCCCTGAAGCTACAGTATACATTTCTGAAATGTCAGAAGATATCAACTTCCTTCACAGGAAACTCAAAATACTCAGCTGACAAAAATTTAAACTGGTTGCTTCCTTGACAAGTTGAAATGCCTTGATTTTATTGAAATTGAAAGTTAATTGCAGTGTTCATTTAAAATTTTCTGTTCAACACTGTTGTCTTCCAGTGAGTGGAATGTGGTCAACACCTTCACACTCTTTTTTCAAATCCATTTTAATATTATTCTCCCATGTAGGTCTTTTCAGCGGCAAGCATTTGGCATAACCCAACACTGAGACCAGTTATTTTCATTGAGGCTTTTATTGAAGAATGAATGAAAGAATGGTGTGTAGGAGTGAAAGTTTTTTTAACAGTGTTGAAAAGATTAATTGAATGACGTTTGTTGGTAATCTCACTTTCGTGTTTCCTGATGGTTGTTTTCATTTATATCCCAACTATATTTGTTTAGCGTGCTTGCAACGAAAAGTTAAAAAAAAAGATCCTGTTAACTTCGCCATGTTTGTCCGACCATTTGTTTGTCGGCGTGTAACAACTAGAGAACCACTGAACGGATTTTAATGTCATTTGATTTTGAGGATTTTGGTCTCCAGAACAATAAGGGTTGGCATTGAATTGTTTTGAAGGAAAATTACTTAAAACATTTATGGTGTAAATATTGAGTTCTCAGCAGACTCAAAATATTGACTGACATGCGGCTTTTGGTATCTGATAGAGTGTTTTTTTATTCACTTTATCAAACATCTAGGTCTAGTGGTATCTTGAATGAGGTTTCCCGCCGCCTTTGCATGCGAATGCTAAGGCTGGCCCATTCCGACAGGCGTCTGTATTCATGTAATCCATCTCATTCGGTTCTGTAGAACCTGTGCATTTGAAACTGCATCGTTACGTAATCTGAGAACTAAAATTAAGCGCTGCTTGAGTGTTTATGTGGCGTCAGAGGAGACATGAGGATGATAATTTATGAGTGGGAAGAGGTTTAAAAGTAGTCCTAATTTACACCTGTGTGACCTGTTTATGTGGAGGGCCTGCATATGAAAGACTTGACTACATAACCGGTTCCACAGCCAGGTAGTCTAGAACCGTTAGCATAGGGAATGGGAATCAGTGGGAGTCAGTCCGCCCTTTTGCTTCCACTGTGTCACGGCCGTCGTTTTCGTAATGCTGACGTATTTCACCATACACGTTTTCATTTGACGCTATACAGAATGTGGTAAAAATGTCGTATAATAACAACCGAAACGGGTAGAGAACCTCAGAACCAAACGAAAATATAACAGTTCTCTGGAAGGAACGTTTACCTAACCGTCAAATGGGGCAGGTGAATTAACCTCGCTGTGTTTCGCGACTAGATGAGGATGAGGGAGACTGGTATCGTCCTGCCAACACCACCATTGGATATGGGTCATCCGCGCGGTCACCGGACCTCAGCACTCGAAGAGATGGTTCAGGATATGGTGGCACAGTATTCGTGTTGTAGTACACGAGGAATTTCCCGAGAGTTTGGTGTCAAGCATCACCCTGTCCGCTTATTGTGTGTTCGTGCAAGACGTGCTACTGCTGCTGCTTGATGATGTGCCACTGGACGTTCGACGTGACACATGTGATTTTAACAAGATGGGGCGCGAACGCATTTAGAATTGACCCAACATCTCCTCAACACATAGTTTCGTGACAGGTGACTAGGATGTGGCGGTTCTGTATCGTGGTCTGCGAGATCATCGGGCCTGAACCCTCTGGACTTCGTCCTTTGAAATTGTTTACATGGACCCTCGAACTGACATGGAAGACTTGACAGCAGAGTTTCGTGTTGGTGTGGCGACCAGTGATGTTACGTCGTATGAACGCCAACATTCTACGACGTGCGGTTGCATGAGGACACTTTATACATCTACTATAACTACAGCCCTCTTAGTTACGTACCTACTCTGTTCTGTGTCCACAAGCGTTGTACGCTTCTCAAGTGTTTTTCCTGACATCGGTGAACATATGCTATTCTTTTGTATTAATTTACTTGCTCACGAGTGTCACCTGCAGTTTTTTTGTCGTTATTCAACCCTCCGCGTATCTGCCTCTGTATTTCAGCTTCATCACTAATTTCTTTGATCGTGGGACTCTTCTCTAATTTGACGATTCCTTCTAGAGAATTCGTCCTTGAACATTTTCTGTTTGTTTTTGGGTTTTCTACCCGTTTACGTTGTTATTTGTAATTTTCCCCACACTCTGAAAACCTCTGCACTTGAAACAGAATTTTAGGAACCTAAGAATTTGTTTCGTAATTGGAAGATCACGGTTTGAATCTTGTCCCCGGAGACCGGCTGCTGTGGGGTCCTCATCCCGGACGTCTGTATAACACGACTGCTTAATAATTCCTGTTTTTCCATACAAACATTCTGTAATTTCAAGATAGCTGTCGTCTGGATTGTAACACTTTGTATTCCGGTATAAGTTTATGATTATGAGTCATAGCCCTGATATTTGGGGAAGAAAATAAATCTGCAGCGTCGGTAAACGTCTACCAGACTACTCGGCGCTACAATCCAAAGACAGCCAGCCATCTACATGCTCGCCACCGTCAATACCTCATATCCTGTCATTTGTCTTCTGCGACTGTAGTCTTGTGGAAATTGACCGACGTTCAGAGGTGCTTGCTGCATCCGTCATTTGGGCGGGGAGACAGTAAGTACCTCTGAAACGTCGGTCAGTTTCTACGAGACTACACGGCACGACATCCCAGAAAGGCGTCTTCATGCTGGTAGCCGTGAGAACCAGGACAGAAATCTCATCCTGACGTATATCCCACGTTATTAACAGAGCGTCATTCAATAAAACAAATGGCAGTTTCCACCAAGCTCATCATTACTTGTCACCGTCATCGATGCAAAAAAGGGCGTGACGTTAAGTTGTGGAACCAAATGTGTGAATCACCTTTCAAGTAGGACGTCAGCATTAAATCACGTAGTACTGTTGGTTCATTTTCCTGATATCCAAGGTCAACGTACCTGCAGGACGTTTGGTC